CTGTTCAACATCCCCCACCCACGAGACATGGCAGGCTTTCTATCAGGAAACTCACCTGGACCCATTTTCGCTCTTCTGTGACACGGGAGAAGTTGTAGACGCGAGCATCCAGTGCAGCTGAGCGCTCTTGCCACAGCTGCTGAACATCACTGCCTGGCTTTCCCCAACATCTGGCATGTGCAGGGAGAGAGTAGAGGGGGGATTGTCGGTGGTCAGAGTAAATTTTTTTAAGGTTTACACTCAGCGCTGTGTCGCAAGGGCACACACAGATACTATTCCTCTACAGAGAGCCAGGAGCCTCTGGCTGTAGGGAGGTAGGTTGGCAGGACAAGGCACAAAACACACTGGCTATAGGCAGACAAATGGGGCAGTAATATATACAGTACACACACCTCTATGCTCTACACAAGGAAATCCCCAGATGATCACAGGTGTAACTGTACTATAGAGCATTACAGTAGAGAAGAAGGTTGATGTACAGATCAATGGAAGGGGCTCAAGTTCTATCTCCTATGTATGTGTAGGCATACAAAGAGAAAAGGGTTCTCTCCCTTCTTTCACAAAGTGCCAGCTGCATTCTGAAAGTGTGGACAATAACCACGAGTGTTGTGTGTGTGTTGTGTGTGTCTTTGTGCATTTGTGCCAGTGAGCTTGTTTCTAATGCCTGCTAAAGGTCAGTGAGTGAGTGAGTGTTCAGTGGTGGGCACAGCTCCACTCTGAAGCATTAGTTGGTAGTAGTCTTGTTTACTGCAACAGGTGCAACACATACATGACACCAAAGCCAGCACACAATCTCACCAATGCCACCTTAGCCACCGCTAGCTCAGATCTTAAGTTCTCCATCTTTCCCCAAACAAGTTTCTCCACAAAAAAACGAAAACAAATCTTGCATCCAAAACTGTCACTAAACACAGGGGCCCACGCTTCAGTCCCAACTCCTAATAGTCCCTATAGGACACCCGGGAGTACCGTTCACCCTGTAATAATCTTCCGTCAGGAGGCCAACACATGTAGGGAATGCAGCACATGAACCACAACGCACCTCTTGAAGTTTTCGTCATCTGAGCCGGCAAAAACCTTCTCAATGTGGTCCAATAACGGCGATATGTTGAGGAGTTGCCCCAATCTCTGGACGTAGAGCGGCAGGGCAGCTGTCTGTAAGTTGCCACCGCCAGTGGCAACTGCCATGCCTCTCGTCCTCACTGTATGTGTGGTGGCAGGGGGAGCAAGTAACCTGTGTGTGAGGCAGTGAAGAGTGAAGTTCATACAGACACATCAGCCTCAAAATACAGCCCATGGGCAATACAGGCACAGGCAATTACATGAGCAGTTCATTACCTAGTGCAGTTTATAGGACCGTTGTCTCTATGTGAGTGAGAGTCGCCTAGTCCTCCGCTTCGACTCACGTCCGAATCTTCGGTCGACTCGAGCCACCGTCGCCAATTGCCGGGCCTTCAACCGCCTGAGGTCCTTCTACCCTCCAGGGCCCAAGTCAAGCACGCCAGGCTCGCCCGTCTCCCCCGTTTCCCGACTCGGAACACGCTAGTAGTGAGGGGCGGAAATCACCCGCCCGGTCGGTGGCCAGACCAAATTACAAAATGGCTTTCGTGGAGTATAGGTAGCCGGTCGGCGCAACCCGGCGGTAGCGAAGTAGGCCAGGAGACGGCCTGCAAAACTCACTGCCCGGCCCAGCTGCACTCGGCCATGTCCTTACGTGTGCGGGTACACGCTCGTGCTGAGATTGGAAATGGCGTGTGAGCAGTTTAGATTGCGTGAAGGGTTGGAGCCTAGCAGCCCGCCCTGGCATTCTTCTAGCTTGCAGTAACAACGATATACACAAGCCTCGCTCCATCTTGTTGCGGGTTCTCTGCCGTATTTCCAATTTATCGACTCCGTTTATTTCCGTACTTTTCCGCGCACTCTAGGATACTATAGTAATTTATCGTATCTGGTGACGTAACAGGACGAGGGGAACAGTTTAACCCGTTTCGTACGAAATTTATCGCCTGGGAAAAACTGCAGCGGGGAAGAAACCATGCTACGAGCTGCTCGTCTAGCTCGCAGGTGGCCCTTCGGTGGATCCTGGGCGCGAGTATGCTGTCGGGCGTACCACGGGGAAGAGCGGGCGGATCAGATCGGCACCCCCCTGCAGCCGAACGACAAAGTCAGACGTAACACCGAGGAGATGAAGCGACTCGTGCAGGACCTGCGCCACATGGTGAAGACAAACGAGGCCGGAGGCAGCGAGCGGGATCGAGAACGCCACTTGAGCCAGGGGAAGCTCCTCGTTAGAGAGCGCATTAACCTCCTGCTGGACCCAGGCTCCCCGTTCCTCGAGCTGTCTCAGCTAGCCGGACACGAGCTTTACGAAGACGATTCCGGGCAACCCGTACACGTTGCGGCCGGAGGCATCGTAACGGGTGTTGGGAGAGTCTCTGGAGTCGAGTGCATGGTCGTGGCAAACGACGCCACGGTCACGGCGGGGACCTACTACCCCATCACCGTCAAGAAACACATCCGAGCGCAGGAGATCGCGCGCGAGAACCGCCTCCCTTGCATCTACCTCGTGGACTCTGGCGGTGCCATGCTCCGCCGTCAGAAGGACGTGTTTCCGGACAGGGATCACTTTGGCCGGATCTTCTACAACCAGGCGACCATGTCTTCGCTCGGCATTCCTCAGGTGGCAGTGGTCCTGGGATCCTGCACCGCCGGCGGGGCCTACGTCCCTGCAATGGCAGACGAGAGCATCATTGTCGGAAACAGGGGAACCATCTTCCTGGCAGGGCCCTCCACTGGTCAAATCAGCAACCAATGAGGTCATATCGGCGGAGGACCTGGGCGGAGCAGACGTCCACTGTAAGATATCTGGTGTATCGGACCACTATGCCCAAGATGATCCACACGCACTCTACCTGGCCAGGAGGTGTATTCGGAGCCTCAACTACAAGAAAGAGCCACAGGTCACGATCGAGAAACCGGAAGATCCTCTGTACCCACCGGAAGACCTCTACGGGGTGGTCCCATCCAATCTGAGAAAGGGGTACAATGTAAAAGAGGTCATTGCTAGACTGGTGGACGGGAGTCGGTTCTCAGAATTCAAGGCTCTTTACGGACCGGCTCTGGTGACTGGGTTTGCACGGCTCCACGGCTACCCCATCGGGATAGTGGCCAACAACGGGATCCTGGACTCGCCGTCTGCCGTGAAGGGGACCCACTTATCGAGCTCTGCTGCCAGAGAAAGATCCCGCTCGTCTTCCTGCAGAATACGACGGGGTTTGTGGTGGGAGGGGAGGCAGAGCGCGGCGGGATTGCCAAGAACGGGGCCAAGATGGTGATGGCTGTCGCATGCGCACAGGTACCGAAATTCACAGTCATTATCGGCGGGAGCTTCGGCGCTGGGAACTACGGGATGTGCGGCCGTGCGTACAGTCCCCGTTTCTTGTACATGTGGCCCAACGCCCGCATATCGGTGATGGGAGGGGAGCAGGCTGCGTTTGTTCTCACCTCCATCGCCATACACAAGATGAGGAAGAAAGGTCAGGAGGTCACGCCGGAGATGGAAGCAAGAATGAAGCAGCCGATAGTAGACATGTACGATCGGGAGGGTCACCCCTATTTCTCGAGCGCCCGACTGTGGGACGACGGGGTGATAGATCCGGCAGACACCAGACGTGTTCTGGCCATGAGTCTCAGTGCAGCCCTCAACGCTCCTCTACCTGACACACACTTTGGAGTGTTTAGGATGTGATGTGTGTGTACATAGTACTGTATTAGAGATTATGATGTATATACAGGTTTTGTGGGGTCAAAATAATGGATTTTGCTCTTCTGTGTTCTGCATTCTCTTACGAATTTCACGAATTTTATTTTGACTTGCTGGCAAAAACTCCTAGATTTGCAATACAATTTGTTACTAAGTGCCTAAACAGAAGTGTCAACGATCGGACGCCACACCTGCAAAAGGACACCACTATATATACACACGGCAAGTATAGGTATCACAGTTTGCTGGTTGTGTGACGTCGAACACGGGGTCCTAGTCAGGAGGAGTTGGAGGCCAGAAACTCCAGTGCTGTCTTCTTCTCCTCTTCCAGCTCCTTGGCCGTCTTCTCCATCTTCTCCCGGGCAAAGTCAGAGATGGGCAGGTCCTTCACGATGGCCCATTTGCAGTCAGCGGATACGCGGACTGGGAACGAGTAGACCACACCCTCTGGCATCCCGTAGGAGCCGTCCGACATCACTGCCATGGAAACCCACTCGTCCTGTCACAGAGTATAGTGTGTGTGTGTGGGATAGAGAAGGCAGAATTCATTTTGAATGCCAACAACGGTTACAATGTGTGTATATACATTATGTCAAGTCATATGGTTCGCACATATAAAAGGAGAGTGCACAATTTATACTTGCACAAAGTGTGGCCGAATTAATGTACTGTGGAAATGCTCAGTGAGCGTGCAAAATACAGACAAGTGGACAACAGCAAGGTGATGTACTACAAAAACGGTGTAGACAATAAAGAGGCAGGTGTGTGGATATTTATTACCTGTGGTGCTCCGAACCACCAGTCTCGGACGTGGTCGCACACTGCCTTGGATGCAGACATAGCACTGGACAGTTTGCGGGCCTTGAGCACAGCAGCCCCACGTCCCTGGACCGTCTGCAGTCACAGAGTTGTAGAAAACCCATTGGCTACTGCTATAACGGTACCGAATATATAGTGAAGTATTTGGAATAAGTGTTCCTACATAATCCTACATGCAGCTTGTGCATGCAAGTCATCAAACTTGAGTGAAACTTAGGTATAAACACAAAATTACCACTATACTGATGGTCATAATTAGTATGCCCAGTCCTTCAAAACACAACACCACTGTGTCTCCTATTCCCCCCACTTACGGTTATGAAATCTCCCTCGATCCAAGCATCGTCCTTGACGGCCTCGTAAACGGGCAGGGTTTTCCCCTCCACTTCCACCGTGGCGTGGCTCACATCGGGAAACTGGGTGGACGAGTGGTTGCCCCATATCACGACATTCTTCACCGCGTCACTCCTGACTCCAATACGGGTTGCAATCTGGGACGTCCCAAAAATGGATCGAGCGTACATTAAAAAATCCCACGTCCACTTTACTTTAACAATGTTAACGTTACTGCACACAAACAAAATGGTGCTGTCCACAAATTAATGTTTCGCTAAAAGTAAGGCTCGAAAACACTTCCGGTAGCTTGACCCACTGGGTACATTGGATTAGATGTGTGCCAAGTTGTAGGGCAAAAAGGTGTTGTGGGAAGGGTGGAGAAGTATACTGCATTGGTAATGACAACATGACGTTGACACGTGCAATGGCCTCCATAAATAATTGTGAACCAGCCTAATACACTGACCTGTGCCTTGGCTCTGTTGTGGTCGAGGCGAGTGAGGGCAGTGAAGTTCTCCTTGGGGATGGACGGGGCAAAGTGCGAGCAGATCATGGCATTGGTGTTGGCTGGGTTACCCACCACCACCACCTGTGTATATATACATTTACCAGAGGCAGAGGGAGGGGTTAATATATGTATATACACGTATTTTTTGTGCATAAAAGTATACCAGTGGCAAAGATCAAACATGTTGTATACTCAGGTTAACGGGTAATATAAACCCCGTTTTCGTTCAATGAAACGACTAAAGCGTGAAACTTTATTTTTGTGTGAGTCTGTGTACCAATACACACGTGTATAAATTACCCTATGATTGGCCGTGTAGTACAGGGCTATTACGCGGTTCATCAATCCACCATTGCCCACGGGCATGTGTACATAGGTCAAAAACTATGATCTATGAAACGTGTGGCAATACGGTGCATTCAGACAAGTGCACTTTAACCCCCCACAGACCAACTGTGAATACCCACCCCACTGAGGGTTAATTAGGGAGGTGGCCATAATAAGGGTATCTTTGAGGATATACCTAAATATGGAGATGGCACACTTACACTGCAGACAGCAGGGTGCACCTTATCACCATACATACCTCTCCACACTCTGATAATCATGAGTCTCCTGATACAAGTTGATGTGGTGCATAACCTATAGTGCTATATACACCATTGAGAAACAATAGAGAAACAATAGAGAGTTCTCAAAGTGCCACATTATTATTTTACCACTCCATCTAAAGTTGTTTCCTCATTTAAGACATCACAAAAATAATGTGTGAATATGACGCGAAAAATACCCTGTGAACGCCCACCATTGTGAGAGACAACACAGCACATCTCTCCCTAACCTTGACCGTCTTCTTGGCAAACTTGTCAAGCGACAGGCCCTGTGAGCGGAAGATCTTTGCGTTGGCAGTGAGGAGGTCCTTGCGCAGCATCCCCTCCCTGCGAGGCATGGAGCCGACCAGGAACGCCACGTCGATGTCCCTGAACGCCTCCTCCTCACTGTCCGTCGGTACAATCTCTGCAAACGTGGGCGGGAGAGAGAATGTGCGTAGGGTAGAGTTACATCCCCCGGCGTATTAAAGAGTTAAAATATTCTAAGGGGAGCCTGGGAATGAAGCTGTGTTGGAGTGTGTCTGACCTTTGACGAGGGTCATGGCACAGTCATGTAGCTCCATCACAACTCCGTGGAGGGCATTCATCATCGGAGTTATGTCCAGGAGCGTCAGGATCAGAGGCTAGCAGTGAGAGGGGACGGAAGAAGGGAGAGAGAGAGGTGAAGAGTATGAGAGAAGATGAGAGATGAGCCTTCGTAACACAAAAAAAACAACTTTCAGGAATGCAACCACGCTCGGGTCAAACAAATAAAAAAAATTTCCCCCCAAATAAACTTATGTAGCAAGCACCAGCTGTGTACAGTTGCACAGTAGGCAAACCCACCTGTTCTTTACCAAACACATCTCCATGTCCGATCTGGTAGAGGAGGGAGTAGGCAATCTGCCCGGCGGCTCCTGTCACGCACACCTTCAGTGGAGTAGCCTGAGGTAGGTAGGGTTGAATAGCAGCATTACCACACCGTATGTACTCCTGCTGTCCCTTCTCCCTCCTTTTACATTACTGTTTCTTTCTTGCAGTCATGATTAGATGGCCTCATTTGTGAACTTACGAGCCCAAGGCCGATGCTACATTATCGTCACACATGCACCACATGTGCTCAAGTTGCATGCAACTCGGTGGCAGTTGAGCGGTAGTGCCAGTCGTCCTTTCATCAGCGCGACCCAAACATACAGCGCGATTTGCGGGTCGCGTAAGACTCACCATTCTGTCACCTGTCTGCTGTTACTACGGGCTCTGCAGGGAGCGAAGCAAGGGCTGGAGCGGATGCACTGCTTTTCGTGCGTGTAGTACTACAGTAGAGCTAAAATCCACACGCGCGCGGTAAATTCATGCGCACGCGCGTTGTAGTTCCTATGACGTCACGTTTCCTTACAGGAGGAGGAAATGGATGAAGGAGAGGAAGGAGAAGGGGGGCCTCAACTGTGGGGCCTGTACCTTCACCAGGCAGAGAGAGAGCCGTCATTACAGGCGACTAGGTCCTTCTGGCTGGGGAAATTTCTGCAGGCACTGCCGGAGAGCGTGCTGTTCAGCTGTAGGGAGCACATTGGGCGCACAAAACCCCCACCAATCGACCCTCGACAGTGGCCCACAGCAGTCCAGGAGCAAGAGACAGAGGAATTAGAACTAAACGTGAAAAGAATCTCAGTCGCTACCGCTGAAAACATGCGCGATTCAAAAGATGATGTGTTCCAGCTGGCTGGGGGGTCGAGAGAGCCACTGTGGGTGCACGTCCAGAGAGCAGACGATTGTCTGAGGTGGCTGGGCCGCCATACCTGCACCTCTCTGTCTCCAACGGTCCACAGACTAGTGGTGGAGTCAGTGGTGGAGTCAGCTACTGTTGATCCTCTCCCGTGGGCCTCTACTGAGACCTGATGCCACTCTGGACTGGACAACAGTGGAAACCTTCCTTGTAAATGGTATATATATATACCCGTTAACCAATATTTAGCAATTCTGTAAACAATTTCTAAAACTCGGTAGTCACTTTAAATCAATCTTCGCCGCCTTCTTGCTGGCATCAGCTCAGCCTAGTCTGCACAAACACACTACGAGAAATGGTAATGTGTCAATATATTCTACAGATGTTGTTTGTGAGCGGAGTGACTATGCCAAGGGAGCGGTAAAGTGTGCAGTTCTGGCGAGACACGTGTCTGATGCGGTGAGGTCTTCTCCTCATCTCCTCACCCTGTGGAGCGGGCTATTCACCTGGACTGGAAACAACAGGTTACGTCAATTGGATGGAGCTGTAGCACAGAGTTTCGAATGTGTGCGAAGGTCAAAAGAAGTTATACAGCGAGGAAACTCATTGAACAAAAAACCCAAGAGAACACATACCTTGGTTGAGTGTAATAACCATTAGCAGCGAAAGTTCCCTTATATTATAGGACCTCATTGAAATAAGGACACAACATGTAGGAATCTGTTTTCTGTTAAGATTAGCAGGGGTTCCACTCTATTAAGGAGCTTTGCAACGTTCAATTTTCCCGTAGTTGTTTGAAGAGTGTATTCAGTTGTGGCAAGGTTCAGACTCAGACTGCGATGTTTCTGGCTCTGGAACACAGTTAGCCCACCATCTTGACATCCCTCGACCTGTGTTTGCCCATCGTCTCTGTCTCCTCCTCTGCTCTGCTGGCCTCGAGAGGGCACTGGGAGACGTGAGTCTTACGCACACACACATACACTACATGTATACACCATTACTACACTCACACGTGGCAAGGAATTAGTTTTTTTTGGCTGAGAAGGTCAGAACTTTTGCGAATGCTTTGAGAACGTCAGAGAGACAACTTTTTCTGAATGCTAGAAAAATGGTCCCAACCTGCAAGTATTCCCAGCTCAAACGTTTACAGATGGCTCTGGACCTCAGGGTTTTCTTCTTCCTCAGTTTCCCACAGTGCAGTATCTGAATTCGAGCATCTACTAAGAGTTTTCGTTTCACAGGTATATCTGTCAGTTTCGGGAGGTATGGAACATCTTTATAGCGGCCCGTCGGCCGTGAACGAGTGTTCTCTCATGATGCAGCATCACAGTGTCCATCTCTACTGAGAGATCTCCTCAACGCACCTCAACTGGAGGACATCTTTGGGAAAACTGCCGTACGACTTGCGAACCAGGAAATTTGTGTCATTCGTCGTAATCTACAGATGTGCTGCCTCCGCTGTCTCATAGGCCCTCCGTCAGGACTCAATCTCAGAAACATATTCTGGCACGGGTTTCCCTCTCCGGGCGAAATCAGCTCAAAGTGAGACCTGAAGTCTCTAATCTATCCCGAATCCGAATCCTCCATCTTGTGTATGTGCAGCTACATGTGTCTACTGCTGGCGATGGCAGCTAGTCTGGGGGCGGGGCTGGCCTCGGTAGTGGTGGTCCACAGACCACCCGTCTCACTGCAGAGAGAGGAGTTCATCATGACTGGCACTTTCCCAGGTTCAATCCATACATGTTTACTATACATGACCAATTTACCCTCGGCTTACGTGCATGCACAGAGAGGGCAGGTGGTCTGTGTGGCCCTTAATAAGGATTTATTGTAGGCATGCGATGATGTCACTATCCATAATACTTTGACTATGGCTGGAGGGTGGAAAAGCAACATTAACTCGCTGCACCTATCCCTTAATTAATGTCTATAACATTAATTAACCCCTCCCTTACTCCCCCTCCTCCTCCTCAAGATGTGTGTGACAGTGACATCGGATGCATAGAGAGACTGTTTGCGGACTCATACTTTGTCCCAGCCTCCATGCTGCCTCTGTGGCTGGCTGGACTCGACGCATTCAAACACCAAATGTCTGTCTGTCTCTGTGGTTTTAGAGCTTAGCTTCAATATTTGTTAGGAAAGTCAGAGCACGAATTGAAAAACTTACGCATTTCACTGTAATATTGAAGTTTAAATTCTGTGAGTGATTGCAGCAGGACAAGTTATAAATTACAAATTGTCCTTGAAAATATAAGTATCCTTGAGAGTGTCTGCCTGCATCAATACAGGAGTGTCCTTCTATATTCAGAGGGTCCGATATAAGATGTGATGTCCGTTCTATTGCTGCTGGACTCCAGGTACCACCACAGTCTTGTTCTGCTGTTGCCTGCCCTCGAGCATGGTCTGAGGAGGGTGTTTGCCTGTGTCAACCACTGCCCCCACAGAGTCCTCACTGCTGAGGTAAACATTTCGTAATATGTCGCAAATTGCGTAGACGCGAAATACTTTCACGAACATGGTCTTCCAGCATACGTGCATGACAGGGTTTTGGGATTCTATATGTACTGATTTGCGATGGTTTCCGATTATGATGTTGATTTCCTTTTCAGTCAACAGCTCTCTACACTACATTTGATGAGGTACTATACAATAGAGTGGAAGTGAATGTCTACTAAATGTTATGTTGTGACAGATTCTAAGTCCAACACTTCACGACCATCTCTCACCCAACAGACTGCACCACGAAATTGGACCTGCAAAACTGGTACGCATGAGTGTGTTTCATCACTGCAAGAACGTATTCTGTATACAACTCATAATTATACCTCTAGCTGCTAGAGACTCTTTTCTCCCAAGCTTCGATGCCTATTGACATGTTCTATGGCTATGAAGGGATTCTAATAATAACAACCAATTGTTTGGGTGGGAACGCTCCACAACTGCACTGAAATAATAATTGAGACCATCTACGTTCCACACAATTCACTGGGAAGCCTGGCTATTATACCTATAATAATGTATTCACATGTGTAAATGAATGGTGTTCCTGAAGGAGTGTTTGTTGGATCTGCTGGTTCAGCCAGAGGGACCAAGACTGAGGGACAGGATCAGCCACGGAGAGGTACTAGCGCCACTTCTCACCTCCTCCACTGTGTTCCGTATGGCGGGGGACGTTTTATGCAAAGTTCATAGGTTCAGAGTTAACTGGGAAAGTTTTGCTCACACATTTATAGGACGACTTGTAGCGATATCTGCAAAGTTTTCTTCGCACAGTATTGTTTGCCACTGACTAAATCACAAAAGTATTCTGCCTTGAAAGTTCCATATCTTTAGCATGAGTGAGACGAGTTGTTGATGTACGTCTGTTGGGTTACAGGTGGATTTCTACTCTCTATCAAAGCCTCTAGCGAACCACGTGGTGTCTTTGTGTGCACTGTTCTGTGCCCACTACTCCCTGGACCCCACCCTCACCTCCGTCAGTTGTACAATCATTACATCATCATTATGTAATAGTCTTGCTGTATGTAGGAGCCTCCCATTGCAAAGTGCCTGGCTGTTGAAAAATCGTACCGACCTCTCTTTCATCCGGCCTCACTATTGAAGAGAGAGGTATTATATTATACAGCGGACAGCATTGTATAGGGGATTCTGTGTTTACCAGCTTTATACCAGCTGTGCATGCCCTTTAAATACTCTAACTTGAGACAGTGAGTGTGAATAAAGCTCTGCCTAAAAAATTTTTTGAGATATGTACCTCCTTAAGTTCCCCATACATACATCATGCGCAATCATTCAACCTGCTGAGAACTCTGTCCATTTCATCTGAATGTACATATGAAGCTGCTGCAGTTGTCGGAGGGCCTGGAGACTTGGTCTACCATCCCACTACCACCACCAGCATCACCTGACTGTAGCTCTGAACCGACACCAGAGGACTGGAGTCACCTGACTGTGGCTGTTCAGCGACTGGCAGACTCTGCCCTAGTGGCCACTGCTACCAGGAGTTACGGCTCTCTTCCCAGGGCTCTGCAACAAGTCAATGAGTCAGTCACAGTCTGTATAATTATCGTATGTTTTATTCGGGGTAAATTCTCTCTGAAAATGTATGAAGTGTGTTAAAGTGTGTATGGGTGCATAGAAGGAAAATTGGGCAATGATAATCCTTGATAGGAGAAGCTTTAACCGAACAAGGCAATTGGTGTACCTACAAGTTGACACCCTCATTTGGAGATTGGCAGAGGGACAGCGAAATAGAGGCGGAAGGCGGATTGGTGAAGTAGGTGCAGGAAGACTATTCCATACTCCAATGATAGTCAAAATAGTACACATGGTTGTCTTGTCTCTTCTTGCACTGATGTTCCTACAAAAAATGCAAAATTGTTGACACCCTTATTAGAGGATGGGAAGTGAGGGACAGCGAAATAGAGGTGAAAGAGGGACTGGTGAAGGTAGACAGGATTAGGTGCTAGAAGAAAGTGTACATTGCTATTCCATACTCCAATGATAGTCAAAATAGTAAGCATGGTTGGCTTGTCTCTTCTTCCACTGCTGTTCCTAAAAAAAGTGCAAAATCGTCGACACCCTTATTAGAGGTTATGGATAAGGGATAGTCTAAGAAATCTTTGCAGCCCTTTGCATTAAGGCTTCTGCAAAAAGGTGTGGGTACCTAGCCTATGGCAAGAGGGTTTGTGAGTATATAGCTATAATACCTGGACCATCTCTTGTGTAGTGATTATAATCCCTCTCTGCAGTCTCTGCCATGGAAGTGGCATCAGAGAGACTTGGGAGTTCTCTACTGCCTTGAAGAGACTGGTGGAGATGGTGTGGGAGGAGAGGAGGGAGAGAGTGGGCAATAGCAGCAGGTCCCTCTGCTCCGGGGCAGGACTAGAGCTAATTGGACTACTGAGAAGGACAACAGAAAACACAGCCAACACACTCTGTCAGGTGAAAGACCCAAGAGTCTACTCCAACGAACTGTTTGTCAGCCTCCAGTCAAAACAATTTGTCCAATGTCTTGCCGTTGCCATCAGTATAATAAGCATAGTTGGCTTGTCATGACGCTATATTATAGCGCCCTATATACAGCGATTCATAGGCTCTAGGTGGATAAGTAATGATGGTTCATATTGAGTCTCTAGTGTCATGTTTGCAGGTAAGAGACATGGCTATACTGAGGCACAAGCAGCACCAACAGAAGCAGCTCAGATCACGTCAGAGGAAAAACTATGAGCACCTCCTCACGAGGTCAGTGTCGAGCACTAGATCCACGTTTCTGTTCATGCTCTCCCCCTCTCTCTCTCCTCAGTCTACCACTCTACAGAGGAGCAGCGTGTCTTATTGTGGTTATGATAGCAGTCACATGGCTACGATTCCACCAGATGACCTGCACTGACACCTCAGCCAGGAGGGCAATAAAGTCAGTACATTCCCTGTCTTCACATACAGTAGCCTCATCCCATGACCTTCACTTACCTTTAATTAATGAGCACCAGATCATAGAAACAATTGCCTTTATGTGAGGTGTCCCTTATTCAGAGTGTCCATATTCCACTGTGTCCTTTGAATGTAGCTATCGCGTTACTTTGGCCAATCCTTTGTCAGTCATGTTAGTGTGTCATATTGCTGTGTGTTCCCTTCACAGCCTCTTCCAAACTGCCTTTTAACCGTCACTCATACATTGTGCTTGCAGAAGTAGCAGCCAACCTACATACCCCTCCATCTAAAATTTTCCCATCTCTCTCACTCACTCTCTATGCAGGTTCTACAGGAAGGTACTGCAGGTGTCAGAGAACCTCTCGTCTCAGACCTCGGCTAGCAGGAACCGGTGGGAGGAGGCCGACCAGCTGGCTCTCTCTCTCGCCCAACTGAGTCTCTTCGACATTCTACCACCTGCCCTGGACACCGTCCTCAGTACATCGCCAAGAGACTTAAACCATTGATTCAATGTATATATTATGTATGTACATATGTATGTATGTATGTATTGTACACAGCTGCTATACAGCGTAACCCAAAGTATTGTTAGTTGCTCCTGAGGTCACATGCTCACTTATGATCTCCCATCGTGATCATCAATGTCATTTTGCCGTTCTCTGCCCTATTATAGACTTCTATTTTTATTGCTTATGCAAAGTGGTATACGGCACATTCCCGTGTCATAATTCATAAACCACATCCAATAATCAGCCTGCACCATGCAAATCTCTCAAAAACGGATGCAGCAAGTATTCCAAGATCGACGTGACAAAATTACAATACAAGTTTATCATAATACACAGCAGAGATAGTATTACATATATACAACGGTAGTACATACATAGGTAGGCAAAAAGTAAACACGTGATCAAGAATTACTAGAATCATTTTGTGAACCAGAAGAGGTGAGAGCAGGTGAACTTGATGGGCTTCAGTCCGTCCCGCACTACATTTCCGTACTGTCAGTGGGGAACTGTAGTGGCGTGTGGGTGGGGTGGAAAATGAAATGACTTTAATAAAGACAACTTTTCTCGTTGTGCAAGAACAAAGCAATTTAACCCCTGAAATAAGGGCACCTCAAGACACATTCATTGGTGTCCGGACAGTGTATTGCGAGAGTTTATAATATTTCTGGGCACCTACGGCATAGCTTGTGTTGTGATGCAAGTCTGTATGCACAAACCTTCCCTCGTGATCCAAACAGTAAAACTACTCGAAGACTGAACTCCACACGTTGTACTTGTTGCTTACTTGAATGATTGACTGGCCCAGTTTTGCCAGGTCTGCCGGCTCCAAGTCCTGGAGCTTCTTTTGCAGTTCCTCACACCTGCTCCTCAGCTGTACACACACACACACACACACACACACACACACACAGGATGAACACAACATAATGCTAGAATGAACATTTTGGGCGAGTGAATGTGAGTAATATGGAATTTCCACGCGTGTATTTAGAATCACGTGTGCAGTGCCCCTCACATAGAAAATCAGCACTGAGACGACTACAGTAGGTAGGCTTGCTTCGCTCACCAATTCCATTAATAGGAAGACAAAAAATCATAGTAATCGTTTTTCTTCCACGCTCTTCAAAAATACTGTACCCTACAACTACAGTATATTCGTCTCTACCTGTATGAGCAGAGTCCTCGGCATGGGTCTTGAGCTGTGTGGTGGTGTCCAGAGAGGCTGTGAGACGGTCCACCTCTCCATGGAGGTCCTCCTGACTCTGCGCCGCCTTCTCCAGCTGCCCCTCCATCTCCCTCACCCTCTCCTCTCCTCCTCCCCCCTCTCCCACCTCCTGCACGGGAGACAAGAGAGTGACAGTTCATATCAGTAGAGAAACACTGGGCCTAAACACTATAGAGCAGGGCATTAATTGGAATGCAATTTCACTGAGAGTGGTATATACATGCACATTAGCACACTATAGAGCAGGGCATTAATTGGAATGCAATTTCACTGAGAGTGGTATATACATGTACATTAGCACACTATAGAGCAGGGCATTAATTGGAATGCAATTTCACTGAGAGTGGTATATACATGTATGTACATTAGCACACTATAGAGCAGGGCATTAATTGGAATGCAATTTCCCTGAGAGTATATACAGTAGGAGTCAAAAAAACGTTTCCAGTTTCGTTCCGTTTCTTTCCGTTTGCCGTTCACTATCGTTCCGTTCCGTTTCCGTTCAGTTGTGAACGCGGTAGAGACTCGCTAGCGGGGGAGCGAAACAAGGTTTTTTTCTTAGCGCAAACGCGAAACAACGAGAATGCAGAACCCACGTAGGTGCTAGAAGAAATATCTTCACAGTGAGGCCTTCGCCTCTCGCGAATTACGGCCCTCGCGTGAACGCATGTACGGCAAAGATTGTAAACGGAACGGAATGAATTCCAACGGTAAATGAACGGCGTTTCAGAAGGGAACGGAAGCTCAACGAAACGGAACGGAACGAAAGTGGAAACGTTTTTTTGACCCCTACTGTACATTAGCTTCTGTTAACTTGAATGGAAAGGTGGAGGTTTGGTGTATGTACATCCAACTGAAAATCAACTAAACATGTATATATATACTATGTGTATGTATGTTTGATATGTGTACCTTGATCTTGGCCTCTAGATTGGTTGTTGTCTCTCGTTCTTTGCTCAGTTGCTGCTGCAGATCTCTATTAGTCACTCTCTCCTAGGGACACACACATATATACAGTGCACATAGAGTGAGGTATGAGATGTGTTGGGGACGCACCCTCTGCAGCATCTCCTCTCTTTCCTCCAGCAGTCGGTGGTGCTGCACTGTCTCGGTTGTCACCTGCTCCTGCAGCTTTTCGAGGTTTCCAAACTGCCGGTGTGCAGAGGGAGAGAGAGAGAAGTGAGGGAGAAAGAAGAGAGGGAGAGAAAGGGTAAGGAAAGGAAGATATGAGGTAGGGAGGGCAGGAGAAAAGGAGGACAGAGGGGAGAAAGGAGGAAGAGAAAGAAAGAGAGTGAGGAGAGTAAAGGAGACAAGTAAAGGCATGCCATGCCATCAACAGGCAGTCTTGGCCACTGTAAATGTCAATATTGTGATAATGTTAGGGGCTTGGCCTCGTTAGCAGGGGAGACTATGAGCATTGCAGCTGCCTCGGTGGTTGCTACACACAAATCCAAGGAATTTCCCCCACCAAATGTAAGGTAGGGGGCTACTCAATCGGGGCCTAACAGTTGAAGTTAAACATTCTCATCCACCACAGTATCCCTTTTAACTACTACATGGAGTAATACGAAATTATAGTTCTTCTTTACATATTGTGGCACTAGCAGTTCCAGGGCAAAGATTTTGGAAACTTAGTGCAACAGGTGTATATGTGTACAGGGAAGGAGATCTGCAGTTTTGAAGTTTGAGGCCAGAGCTTTGGTACTACAGGTGCATATGAGGTGGGAGCCAGACTGACCGCCTTGTTGAGTGTTTCTCTGAATCCCTGAGCCTCTTGGGAGTGTATCTGCTCGTCCTCCTCCAACTCTGCCACACGTTGCTTTAGTTCACACACCTATGTACGCGGAGGGGAGGGGAGGGGAGGGGAGGGGGAGGAGACAGGGGTAAATGGAGAAGTGGGACCTAGAAACTACTCTAGTTGTATGTACTTCAAGACCCTTCATCGGTGTACATTAACAGAAGAAAAGAAAAGCGGGCTACCAATACTCTCGCTACTCAAAACAGAAGGGGATTCAGTCACGTACACATACACTGAGAGAAAGGTTTGGAAACTAAAGCAGAGCAGAGAGGGGAGGGGGAGGAGACAGGGGTAAATGGAGAATTGGGACCTAGAAACTACTCTAGTTGTATGTTACTTCAAGACCCTTCATCGGTGTACATTAACAGCAATGTGGGCTACCAATACTCTCGCTACTCAAAACAGAAGGGGATTCAGTCACGTACACATACACTGAGAGAAAGGTTTGGAAACTAAAGCAGAGCATTTCTGTTTCCGCGAGTTCTGAGTGTTTTGTTACCTGTTTCTTGGTGTTTTCGAGACAGAGTTGGGCTTCCATCTCAAACTGGTCGACCCAGGGAGAGAAGGAGGTGGTCTCAGCCACTCTCACGTCTGGGAACAGTCGTTCGAGCAGTGCCCTCTCTCCCTCCTCTTTCTCCTCGGCAACCCTCGCCTCTGCCATCTTGACACGGCTCTGGGGAGTGTATGCATGTTTGTTATAGAGAGGGGAGGGGAGTAATACGCCGTGCATAAGATGCACTATACACCTTTACTCAATTTCAATGGCATCTTGCTATTTCCTTTGCAGTGTGAGGCTATATATGCAACGGGTCATCCTTCCCTGTAGGATTCCTATGCAGTAAGGTTTGAAACAAACAGGAGACCAGAGTTTCCCAATTGAGGAAGAGGATATGGCAATTAGAGCTGCCCCTACACTGCACACCACAAGCACACACAATAGGGGTTTTTCTAGAAGTTTTTTTAAAGCAGGGGTAAAATTGGGTGTTCAAGAAGGGGGTTTGAAGTCAACCCAGACAGTAGTTCCTCCCATTGAAGAACATGTGATGTTCAACAACGGACCTCAGTGTCTCTGTAGACCTGTTTCAGCTTGGCCTCCGACTCCTTCTCGAGTCGCGCAGAGTCGTCTCTGGCCTTCCAGCAGTTGTCTCGCAGACTCTGCGGCACCACACACAGACGTTCATATACCACGCACAGTATGGTGTACAGTTGCACAATTTATCTGGTGTAGCAAACTATGGTGAGCTGTGTGCATTAATTTGCAACATGCACAGGGTCTTCATTACATGTGGAGTGATACAGTACATGTACGTATTAAAGGGGTTGTGGTGGTGGTCTTTAGCTAGTGTGCTATCATGCACATCGACTGCCGAATGACTCGATATACTTTCCAGCTAGACTGAGACAGTATCCATATAGAAAGCACACAAGAGCTGAACTAGGTCTCCTCACATTGTTCTTCCCCTGGAGGTCGTTGAGGTTGGTCTCTGCAGTTTTGAGCCTCTCTTTCAGCGTGTCCCTTTCCTCCGCCACCTTCCCCAGTAGGTCCTCCTTGGCCCTCAGCTCCTCTTCGTGACCGGCATCCACCTGGAGAGAGATGGAGGGAGGAGAGAGAACGCGAGGGTGAGGAGAGGAGGAGGAGAAAAGGAGGGAGAAAGTTAAGTAGGAGGAGAGGCGAGAAAATAGGAGGAGGAGGGAGGTGGGAGAGGGGAAAGATTGTTAACCTGAAGCCTACCCAACATCATGAGGTTGGACTAAACTAACGGGGCTCAACTCTGCACTCTGCACAATCATGTCTGCCCAACAAGTGTATGTCTGCATAGAGCATTAGCATGCCCATAGAAATGCCGCTAGACTACTGCTCACCTACATACACACCTTCATATCTCCACTGCCTCACCTTTTTAGTCTGTTTGGCTAGTGTACCAGCAACAACAGAACGTATTCATGCATGCAGAGCAGTCGAGCATTGCAGTAACTCAATGGGACATTAGGCAACACAGGCCAAAAGCCCCCCCTGCAGCACACGTCATTAATTGTTTATCTCTTTGGGGTTGGCCACAAACAAATTCCACTGTACACATATAAGCAATTCATTCAGACATCCAGACACACGTGGTGTACCTATAGATGTGACTATACCAACATCGAGGAAAAAGAAAAACATTGGAGGGGAGAAACTTTCAGGAATTTTGAGGCTCAAGAACAAAGTATTATGTACAGTGGGAACGCAACCAATGAAATTCATAATTGCTATAATATACTGAGTAACAGTTCCCTATGAGAGTTCTACTATTGCAGAGTTAGCCAAAGTTTCCTTCCATGTGAGACTTCTGCTACATATTATAGTGTTAGCCACACACATACATAAGAGAGTGGTGCATATGTACACACACTACATGTATACCTGGTCATCCAGAGGACCGTTCTGTTGAGACGTGAGAACAGAAGTCTGCAGTTTCTCCAGCTCTGACTGCAGGTCCTGCACAAAACACCAGGTATATAGACAGAGACAGAGAGGGTGCATTGACATGTGGGTTTCAGAGCAAACACAAGGTGTGCTATTTCTACACAACACACTGAACCTCACGAAAAAGAGCTCTACTGAGCAGATTTGAAACACAGTGTACATTTCTCCTCTCTTTACCTGTTTCATGGCAGTCTCGGAGGCCAGTCGCTGCTCCGTGGAGCTACGCTCGGCCTCTCCCTCTCTCCGAACCCGCGACAGCTCCTCCTTGACGCTGAGGAGCTCCGCCTCGTACTGCACCTTTAACCCTGACACCTCCGACGAGTGCTCCGCCTCCATCTTGGCCACCACGGCTTGCCGCTCTCCCTCGTGCGCCTCCTTCAACTGGCTCTTCATCTCCTCCACCTGTTCAGGAAAAAGAGCCCAGAAGTCACACACTGGTTGCCTGATGAAAAGTGGTAACGATAACGACAGAGTTTGCATGCAGCAGCCACAAAGAGTGCAGTATTTCTTTCGCATGTACAGTACGTATCTGTACTACACTTGAACAAAACAAAAAACTATGAAAAACCATTTTCTCACTTTACATAAACCCAACTGAATCAGATTGTGCTATTTCTACACAACACACTGAACCTCATGAAAAAGAGCTCTACTGCGCAGATTTGAAACACAGTGTACATTTCTCCTCTCTTTACCTGTTTCATGGCAGTCTCGGAGGCCAGTTGCTGCTCCGTGGAGCTACGCTCGGCCTCTCCCTCTCTCGAAACCGCGACCCAGCTCTCCTCCTTGACGCTGAGGAGCTCCGCCTCGTACTGCACCTTTAACCCGACACCTCCGACGAGTGCTCCGCCTCCATCTTGGCCACCACGGCTTGCCGCTCTCCCTCGTGCGCCTCCTTCAACTGGCTCTTCATCTCCTCCACCTGTTCAGGAAAAAGAGCCCAAAAGTCACACACTGGTTGCCTGATGAAAAGTGGTAACGATAACGACAGAGTTTGCATGCAGCAGCCACAAAGAGTGCAGTATTTCTTTCGCATGTACAGTACGTATCTGTACTACACTTGAACAAAACAAAAAACTATGAAAAACCATTTTCTCACTTTACATAAACCCAACTGAATCTACTTTGGATTGTACTTGGAGTTTTGAGGCACTAACCTCTTCTTGAGAGGGCCCTGGAGGTGGCTGCTGAAGGGCCAGTGTAGCAGCCTCAGCCGCAGACTGCTGAAGGGCCAGTGTAACAGCCTCAGCCGCAGACTGCTGTTGAAGACCTTCCACCTGGGAGCCCAGCTGAGCGTTGGTCTCGCGGAGTCTCTGAACCTCAGCCGCTGTCGCCGCGGCCGACTCCGCAGACTGCTGAAGGGCCAATGTAACAGCCTCAGCCGCAGACTGCTGTTGAAGACCTTCCACCTGGGAGCCCAGCTGAGCGTTGGTCTCGCGGAGTCTCTGAACCTCAGCCGCTGTCGCCGCGGCCGACTCCGCAGACTGCTGCGCGAGGACCTCCAGCCGCGCCTTCTCCTCCTGCAGCTGCCGGAGCTCCATCACCGTCGACGACACCACACCCTCCGACTGCCGGCGCAGGGCGTCGACCTGTGAGCCTAGCTGGGCGTTCTGCTGCTCCAGCCGAGAGATTTCGGCCCCCGCGGCTGCCTCTCCCTCCGCCTCCTTTTGCTCCATTGTCTTCATTGCCACCTGAGGACAAGGTGAATGAACGCTGGACTACTTTCAAGATTTGTTCGATGATATACTTTTGTTTTATCAAGAACTGCTTCAGGTAAAGTAGGAATACAATGGCGAGCAAACGAATGTCGAAAATTTCAAAACGAGTGTCGAAATCTCAACATATTTACCTGTATATACTACAATGTACACCACCCGTTGGTTTGGGATATCAAAATTCAGACAACTATGTATGTGGGTAGGCTCGCTTCTCTCGTCGATAGTCACTGACTGGTGTATACTTGTACATGATCCACAGTACACTACATTACGGTGCTTGTGGTGTACATACATACGCATTATGTAGAAGACAGACAAAAACAGGACATGGGCACAGACCTGTGTTTCCTGCAGCAGCTGCTGGGCGGAGGAGAGCTGCTGAGAGAGTGTGTCTCTCTCCTGAGAGGCGGCCACCAGGCTCTGGACCTGCTCCACCAGCTGGTCCTTCTCTTTACCAACACTGATCAGAGCTGCCTGCACACCACACATTAGAACAACATACATTTCAGAGCCGCCTTCACAACACATACATTTCAGAGCTGCCTTCACAACACATACATTTCAGAGCAGCCTGCACAACACATGCATACATTTCAGAGCTGCCTTCACAACACATACATTTCAGAGCTGCCTGCACACAAGCACACACATAGAACAGGCTTTGCATTGAATCAGTGATGCCTCCACCACCACACACAACAACGTACGGGCACACACATTGTAGAGTAGTAGTTCATAGGGTGGCCTCCTAGATGCTTGAGGTACCAGCACAAACATACGTGTACATAAGTACATATGTGGCATACAGCAGCAAGTATGGAAAGGAAAGGGGAAAGGAAGAGCAACGGGATATGGACACACAGTAACACACAACATTCCACTGCAACCTCACCATTACCAAGAAATCATTACTGCTTGCAAACAGGCAATAATACAGAGAACACAAACACACACGCCACACACCTGAAGTGATGCGTTGTCCTCTTCAACTTGTCTCAGTCGTTGCTCCAGCTCCCCGACCCTCTCCAGCTGGCCACGCCCATCGGCCCCGCCCCCACCCCCTGCCGGGCTCTTGGCGGCACTCTTGGCCTTGCGGAGATCCGAGTGTAGCCGTGCCGACTGCTCCTGTGACTCCTGTAGAGACTGTTTGAGTGAGGCCAGCTGGCTAGTGAGGGAGGAGTTCTCCTGGGCACTATCACATACATTCAGGAGAGGAGGGAGAGGAGGAGGGATGGATAGTATTAGGTAGAAGACAAAGACACCCCCCAACACCGTAGCCAGAAAGTGGAGAGACAGAGATAAAGGTAGGAAGTAGGTAAGGATTTTCCTCCATAAAAGGAGATCTGTAAGCCATTAATAATGCTGGCCCACAGTACAGAGGGAGAGGGGTGGGGTAAGGAGTGGAGAGACAGAGATAGGTGATTGGGTGGTAGGGTTAATGCATGTAGAAGGATTATTCTCCATAAAAGGAGGCATAGAGAGATCTGTAAGCCACTATTGTGACTGCCCACTCACAGTGCGTTCATCCGTTGGGTGAGCGTTGAGTTTTCCTGGGAAATAGGTAAAGAGCAACGTATAGTCAGCAAGTGTGACCAATACCCCATATAAGGTCCTACTATTATAAGAATCTTAGCCAATTTCAGTCACCGCAGGTTTCATGCTGAAAGTATATACGGTATTGTAACTTTCACGTCCAATTGAACAACATTTTTGATAGATCCATGAATCAAGTTACAGTCGGAAAAGGTTTACGTAACTATGCATGTGACAGAAAAGTACCTCCTCCAGTTTAGAGGTGTTGAGCTGTTTCGTCAGTTTGAGCTCCTCCTCAAGGCCACCGAGCTTGGTTTTGAAGATGGTGATCTCGTTGGTCTGTTTGCTGATTCTCAACTGGAGCTGTCTCTCAGACGTCTGTCGCTTGGACCTCTCCTCCGCTATCTCAACTCTGACAAGGAGGTGGAGGGGGGAGGAGAGGGAGAGGGGGGACAAGGAGGAAGAGACAGGGAGAAAGTAAGGGGCTCAAAGCTGTAACACACACAACTAGGGGTTCAAGGCTTTAGTATTCATAGACTAACACATTTCTACACGTTCAATGGTAACATTAGTAAGATGCTATATACTCCACAAAAATTGTTCCATTATTTTATTGCTTACTCTAGTTTCTTGATCTTTTGGTAGTGGTCTCGGACGGTATTCTCAGCTATGAAGAGGAGGGATAGAGAGAGAGAGAGAGAGTGTGTGTGTGTGTGAAAGACAGAAGAGAAGGAGAAGAGAGAGAGGATGAGGAGCTAGGAGACAATGCTAGTTGGCAAGAGATCAGTGCAGAGGAATAACAATAAGTCACCAGGACAACAGAGGATCTGGTGTCATATGTTGACACCTCGGCTCTCCAAGACCTGTTGAGGCTTCCCAAAGCCAAGCCGGAGGTGTTGCATGGCACAGCTGCCATTCCAACTGCCGTCCCCTCTGCCTATAGCCTAACCCTAGCAAACAACCGCCCAGCCCCTGCATACCGTGCATACCGTGTGGCTATAGGTATAATAGACGCATACATGGCTACACACAGCAGGCATGCTGGGTCCACAGCACTGCACACACAGCCACAGACAGCCATTTGCCACGCAGGACAATAGATGTATAGGCTATTGTCAGTATTGCTCCCACAGCAGAGGAATGTTTAGAATGTCTTTGATAGGCAGTGTGCAGGAATTCTGTACTTCATATTCTCGGAGATATGTAAGTATAATGTTGCAGTACCCAGACCGGACAGCATGAGCCCTGTAAGTATATGTTGCAGTGCCCAGATTTGTTGGATATCCCTAGGCAAATGACATGTACATGAACCCTACTTGCACATTTAGGATTGTATAGGCTGATAAAATCCCCCAGTACCTAGCTTCATACATGTCGGTTGCCTAGGGATATCCAACAAGCACAAATACAGTACTAACAGACAACTGTCACTGAGCTACGTGTGCAATAGTTGGCCTATAACACTTGGCATGTCTGGATTATCACATTACAAGCACAGTCTTCATGCATGCTGCACCCTCTTGCAGTAGTTACATACATACTGCACAGGCCCATTGTCAGCTGGGTGCCACGCTAAATGGCCCGACCATCTGTGTGGCAACAAAGAAGTCCTACAGACCCTGGGTGGCCCACTCACTAAGATTCCACTATCTCTGACCACAGTAACAAAGGCCCCTGACCACCAACAGCAGATGCCTTCTGAATACATAGTCACCACACTCAGGGGACACTCCAGTGTAGTGAGGAGAGATGGAGACAAACAGCCAGTGAATGGTGGTAATGTAGTGAGAAGAGAGAGAGGGACTAGGGGCCCCGGGGAAAGGGGGGCCTCCCAGCTACGGCATCTCAGTTCTCTCCCACAAGACCTTCACTGTACCCCACCCGTATACCACCACGGCCAGGGAGACCCCACCCCGCACCGACCCCTGAGAGCCAGGGGAGGGAGGGAGGCAGTAGAGGAAAGATCAGTGGGGGGAGCCAGCTGCCCACGTCACAACATACCCAGACCCTAACAACGTGCACAGGGAACCTGTATAAACCAGTATGTTAATGTACATGCCATTTTCTAAGCATTAGACTGTGTTCGGGCATTGTGTGGAGTTTACAAGACTATATAGTGCCAGGTGCACACGGGTAACAAAATTCCATTTGAGACAAACTAATTTCTTGAAAATCACCCCACTTTGACCTTCCTTTTGCATGCAACCGAACTCCCGTGTCCCAATTTGTACTAGTACATAGGCACTCTGCATATGCACACATCTAACAACAACAGAACCTAACACTTCGTGAAAACATTCACACAATCACTCGGCAGGGAGTCTGCAAAATGAGGACACATTTATCTTGTGTTCTTACCATTCTGGCAGCGTTCCTGCAAGTCCTCGTTGGCTTTCTTCAGGGATTTGACACTCTCCGTTCCCTTGCTCGCCTGTGCAACATGCGTATCGAGAAAGGGGCATTACTGATTAGCAACATTGACAGAGGAGAGGAGAAGATAGAGGAGGAAGAGGGGGGAGATCTAGTGCTCACTCCTTTCATCTTCCACTCGGCATTGGCGTCCTGCATCTCGAGGAGCTTGTCAATGAGATGTTGGATCTCTTCGTTGCTCAGTGTGCTGGCACTCACTACGTCTGAGATACGGGAGGCCGGCATTGCCTCCAGCTCTCCTGGTGTGTGCGTGTGTGCGTGTAAGAGAGAGAGAGAGAGAGAGATAGAGAGAGAGAGAGAGAGAGAGAGAGAAAGAGAGAGGGAAAAGAGACTTAGTTATACACCTGTCTAACAGTGTGTGTCACAAGGCAAAGCTAAACCCCGACAACTTAGAAAATAGTTGCTCTAAACCAAATGTAGTTCTGCCCACTGCACATGTACAATCAGACAGGGGCCCTGTCAAATCTACACCACCAACACAAGACAAGACAAGACAAGACAGAGGTGGTAAGGAATGCAGGAGGGAGAGTTAGTGGATATTATGGGGCTGCAATGCAAATTGACACTTCCTGGAACACGAAACTCATCATCCACTGCAAAACACTGTATCTACGGTGTTGTCCCTTGGCACTGCAGCATCTTTCTCTTCCTGGTCTCTCTATACTGTACATACTACTTGTATATTATAGCTCCACACAATCAGCTGATGCTACAGATCTTGAACTAACGAAATACTTGTTCAACCCTCCCATTATGTACATGATAGATCAGAATGCACATTTTTAGCTGCGGTGTGTTGTGAAATAGTTTCTTTATTAAGCATTATATATGAGTCTTTTTGTACCTGGACCTGCAGTAGATTTGGATTTCTTTGTCTTCTTTTGGCCACGAGATGTGGCTCCTCCGGTGGTAGTAGTGGCACTTTTGGTAGCTCCCACACTGACCACAGTGGCACTCTTGGTGGCAGCAGTGGCTGTTGTCAACGTCGTCGGTGGAGCCTTTGGTTTTGACTGCAGTTGCACCTGGTCGTCGTTGTTGTTGCTACGGCTGCTCTTCTTCTGGGGTGGCTCGATCCTCAGGACACGGGGAATGAATGCGTTGTCAGCCTCCTCGTCTTCTTCCTCCTCTTCCCCCACCTCTGGTTCCAGAGCCCGGGCGAGGGGCGTGGAAAACGGTGGGCGGGACCCTCGCTGGGCGGAAGGGTGGGGAGTGGGGGGATTGGTACGTGGGGTCTTGCTGGGCTTGGCTGGCGTCTCAGATACCTCGAAATCAACTCTAACTCCAGCAGACGGTTCAGCCTGCGCGAGTGACGAGTATATATATAGGAATGATGAACATACATACATAAAATTGGGTATCAAAGCGAGCATAAAGATAATACGGACATACGCGATGAAAATGGGTGTGGGTTGTTGGCAAAGCCGATTTCCTGGATTTTTTGGCAGCATTTGAACCCCTAGAAAGTATGTCTTGGTCGTGAGAAACTTCCCCAAATACTCTGGCGTCAACGATGAAAACTAATCAGTGCAAGAATGAACAGACAGCTCCAAGTAAAATGACCACAGGTGTGGAAAATATTAGAAGAATGTGAACACGGGTTTCCTTCAGGGGCAACCGACCACATGTTAATTCTAGACATAGGACCCTGGTTTGGTCAAAAAAGGGCAGTTAAATGTATGTCTTCAACCCTCTGGTGTGGGCTACCTGCAGGAGCACCTGCCCTACCTACACACAGCCTCACCTTGTCCTTTGCCGCCACACTGTTGGCCTTGCTAGTCGTCGTCGTCTTGAGGATCCCCTTCTGGGCAGGTGGCAGTGGTGTGACCTCCACGTCTCCCTGCTGACCTTCCAGCTTCCCGGACTCCTGCCTTCTCCCGCTCCTCCCTCCCGGCCTCTTCTTCTCCCTCTTCTGCTTCTGCTCCCTCTCCCTCTCGGTGATCTTGCGGAGCTCCCTGTCCGCGTGGCCCTGTCTGGCCTTCATGGCGTCTTCGTAGCTCGTCTGGCGCCCGGCTCCCAGCCAGAACACTAGGACCACCGTTACTACCACCACGCTAACCCCGACTACGGCGGGGACGACCACGGTCAGCATCGACAGCGACTCTTCCTCCATGATGGCTGGCCACGTCGATGTGGGTGCTTTTAGGCAGGCAGTATTTTACTTCTTGTACTCTTGGATTGCTGGGTAAGTCGCGACGGAGTACGCAGGGAAGTGATGGTCTGTTGGCGTCAAAGAAAAAGGTAGATGCGAAGAACCAGGTAAGGATAACGTACACACACACACGAGTCAGCACCACGCGCACACAAAGGAAGCGAAGATCGGACGGTGTTAGAACGCGATGGTCGACCGTCGTGTGGGAACTGCGCATGCGCATAACTGGTGCATGCCGCCGCTCGCTGCTGCATATGCTGCTGCTTGCTGTTGCGTGTGCGCGCGCGAGAGGGCCACGGTGTGTCACGTGATCACACGTGTGTGCGCATGCGCATGAGCCACAGTGCATGGGGGACACACAGATGTTCAAAGGAAACTAAGCGGGTAACATGAGGGTGGGTGGTATTTCGAGCTCCTCATTGATGCGAGAGTGCATGTAGTGCTGCAGCAGGAGACGCAGCTCTGTGTTCTGATTCCTGAGTGCATGCGTCTCTTCCTTGACCTTGTAGCGAGAGACGAGGACACTGTTGTACTGCTCCAGTCCCTCCAGCAGTGCATCCCACACTTTTTCGTGGCTCTGGGGGAGAACTCCTGCCATTCCCTTCCAAAATGAGCCGCCGAGAAGCTCCTTGTGTTCTAGCGACAGGCCGACAGTTCTTGGACCGAGCAAAGGTGGCTTTGCCGTTGACTTGCGCTGCTCGACAAATTGCCGCAGAGCTGAGGGGATCTCATTAGGGTGTATGAGAGCAATCTTCAGATGAGATTGAGATCGTGTTTCTCCCCCTTTCATTGCTTCATCATCTGTCACTTTGGGCTGCTGACTCTCTCCTTTGTTCTCCCCGTTCTCTTCGGCCTCCTTTTCTTCCTCCTCCTCCTCTTGCTCATGAACAAAGAACCCAACCAGATGTCGTATGTCTTCCTCTGTGTGAACACCGAGTGACTTGAACATGGAGTCAAGTTTCATCATCATCTGCTCCTCTTTAGCCAGCGGGGCCACGAGACGAGTGAGCTTCTCATCCAGTAGGAACCCAGCCTCTTGACACAGGAGCTCCAGGACCTTCTTTACAGTAGACGAAAGGTGGACATGTGCAGTGGGTGCCCTGGGTGTGTCCACCAACTTTCCCCCCTCCTTTCCCCCTCTAGTGGGTGCTCTGGACACCTCATCTCCCTCCCCTTCAAACCCTTCATCTTCACTGCCCACACTTCCATCGGGCTCAGACAGGACCTGAGAGGCGTAAATTGTCGCCTGACTCATCTTGCTTCGGGCGGTTGCCAAGACCCTGTCCATGGGACTGAGCACCTCGCACGGTTCCCCCCATTCAAGGCCCAGCTGCTGCTTGTGCACCACCCTGTCAGCCTCCAGCACCTCGCCCGCCAGCTCCCGCACTTTCTCCTCATTCATGGCCCAGACTTCTCGGAACAGTCTCGCGTCGGACATCTGGAAGTGTCGTGCCTTCTTCTGCACGTCTCGGTACTGCTCCGTGTTCTTGCGGTATTCCTCCATGAGTGCCTGTAGCTCGCTCTGCTGGGCCTGCGACTGCTTGCGGAGTCGGGTGCTCAGCTGGTTGTGGGTGTCCTGGAGTCGCGTGATCCTCCGTTTCTGGAGGCTGATGGTGGCCGTGTTCTCTTCGTCTCTCTTCTTCAGAACCTGGAGAGAAAAGAAAGGATTCTGCATGCACACACCATGTTGGGGCCTCTAGGATAATATTACATTGTAGCATCATCAAGCATCAACAATGTTTTGGTGATAAATGCACGTCAAGTAAGACCAACGGCAGCATCTGTATATAGCCCATTCTGTTTTATGTGTATATACTTGGCAGTAGAATGTACACACACACACACACACACACACACACACGTCAGAAGAGACCTGAAAGTTGTACTCGAGTTTCTCGGCATTGAGAAGGTAGGTGGCCTTCATCTGCTGGATCTGCTGCTGCAGCGTCTGGATGTCCGTCTCCAGCTTAATCTTGATCCTGTTGTAGTCCTCCATGTTGCGGCGACGCAGGTGCTGTATCTGTGCCTCGTTCTTGTCGATTCTCTCCTCCCTCCTGGCCAGGAAGTGTGCCTCCTGGCTTCGTCTCTTCCCAACTGCCTCCTCCCACTCTGACCTGCAGTTAGTTGTAGCCACAGACTCACACAAACTCTACTGCATTTGTACTACTCTATAAGAGAGCAACATTGCAGTCACAAACAAAATCGCCAGCTTATAGACGGACATTGTTAGCAACCAAACAGATTGTTGTTATCACATCACATGTGTGGCTCTACCAGCCTTGCGCGTGACTATGCACAATCATTATTTTCTCAACTCATCTCTTTCTTGACCTCGAATGGATCTTACGAACCTCCACGTGCATACACTATCTACACGATAATTATAGTAATTCAGGGTTGCTTTAATGAGTTCAGAGGTCATTGACTAAGGGTGCCTGCACATGCTGTATACACGTGTGCATAGGTAAAAGGTGAAATAAAATGTCTTAACTCACTTGTGGTTGTCTCGGAGGGTCTCTCGCTCAGTGGCAAAAGAGCTCTCGATCTGGGCCATCTCCTGTCGGTGGGCTCTCAATAGAGTGTGTGCCTGCTCCTCCATCCTCTCCAGAACCAGGTCTACCTCCTCCGCCTGCTTCTTCAGGTACTTGACGTACTGGTCGTCCTGAGACTTCAGCTCCTGAGGGTGTCAAGTGTGTATATAGACATATATATAGGTAGACTGTAAACATTGTTCCGTGAAAAAGAATGCATTGCTTGGTTTTTCAGGAAATTTTTTGTCAAACTTCAAGCTGCCACTTCACAATAAAATTGCACAATATTATGATTTTCTAAGCATTTGGCCAATAAAATCCTTCACAGATTCCTGTGTTACAACTGATACTGCACAAAAACATGCACAATTTGAATTAGAGTGTGTTTTACAATTTTCTCAACCTGTTGGAAGTCATTCACAAGTTTGTCTTTTTCGTCAGTCATGGCATCACACGCCGCCTTTTGCTGTAGAATCAGCTTTTGTATCTCCTGCAGTGTTGCAATATTACATCATAGAGCAGGAGAGCAACCAGTAGAAAATAATTATGATAAGTTTAAACCTGTAGAGCATTACACACCTGTGGGATGGTGCTGTTCTTGGCTGTGCTCCATTTCTTCATGATCTCTTCAAACCTCTCCTCACCAGCTGTAGCCTCAGCCTCCAGTTTCTCATACCTATATATGCAGTATAGTAAATGTCGTGGACACTTGATATGTATCGATCCATGCTGCTATAGATTCCAAATCACAGATTACTGGTGTAGATATGGATTCCCAACCACAAAATCTTATTGCTGAGAAGAGTCAAATGTGCTGCACTAGTCTCAATGGTGCAGTGACTGACTGACCTGGCATTGCGGGCCTCCTCCTGCTGATTCCTGCACTGCACTTCTCTTGCGTCTTCAGCACCCTCACGTTGCTCACCAGCTCGCTCCCGTCACTGCTCAGCTTGTCCAGTCTCAGAAGCTCTTTTCCACCTGCTTCCAGCTCACTCTCTCCTTCTCCTCGTCACCTCCTCCTCCACTGCCTGCAACAGTCAGAGACAGAGGAGTCGAGTCCGACTTGTGCTGGTGGCCGTTTCACTGACTCCTCTGGTTCTGTCTCCCCTGCTTCTGTCCGTCGCTTGGCTTCGAGCTTGGATTCAACGCGCCTCTCCTTGCCAGAATCCTCTCCTGTTTCTCCCTCTTTCTCTCTGCCTCCTGAGTGTCCACAGGCTGGCTTCCACTGGCATCTGCAGCCTCCCATCTTTGCCCACGCCAACACAGACACTGCCAAAGAAGTTAGTAGTTCGTACTGCGTGTGTAGCAAAGAGACAATCTCAGGGTGAGTTGAGTTTTAGCAAATTTCTCCCGTGCAG